ACATCTTGATAAAAAAAAAAGAAGAGAAAAAAAAAACATTTTCGAGCTGCTTGCTGGCTTGTGGCAGGCAATCAAGAAGCAGCAGCAACACTTGATGGACAGTTTATTTAATTTCCAAGTAACAGCAACGGACCAAAGAATTTCTCCGAGTATGTCAAGGGGAAGTGCTGAAGATGCCGAAGAACTGAAATAAGAAGCAATAAAATGAGACGACACGGCTTGCAAATGGAAATGCACTCTCCAAAACAGTTAAAGAGGCACTGGCAGGCATAAGCATAGTGCATAGTGTGAGAGAGAGGGACGCAAAGATGCTTAGCATATCAATATATATATGTATGTACGTGAATATGTGCATAAGGAGAGCAGAAGAGTGGACAATGGGCAATTGGATTGCGCTCGCTACATAGTTGGACAAGCACTGTTACTTAGCACGCATACATGTGCACATACTTTGTATGTTATGTGTGCATGATTTGGTTTAATTAAAATAGTTGTTTATTTTTACATTTTGCGCACGCAATTTATCAGGAAAATGTTAATTCTTCCTCTTTTATATTAATGCTAAAATGTTCATACCTACACACATACATATTGTGAAGACGAATTGAAACACAGGGCTAAGAAATTGACGCACGCCTTTCACTTGAATTTCATTTGTTTGGATTTTGGGTTTATTTACATACACACATACTTGGATATGCGTCTGCCAGGTTTCGTGGAATGATTTATGTATGCATGTGTATGTTTATATTCTAAGCATCACTGCGTACCCCTCTCTCTCACTGTGGATGTCTAGCTATGTGTGAGTGGTGATAACTGTTTAATTCAAAAATGTTACATTTACAGCAAGCAAGACCAACAAGCTAAAGTGCTTTGTCTGAGCTGGTATGTGTGTGTGTGAGTGTGTAGGGTATTTAGCAGTTGCGACATTTTAGTGTAACAAGCTGGATGCGCTTTCCAGAAACTAACTGCACCAACTGTTAGCAGCGCACTGTTAATTAAATTGTGCGACCGGCTCGGTTCAACCCTCCAAATGGAGTAACGGGATTGGCAATGCAAATACGAATGGCAATTGAAAATTGGGAATGTGAGCATGGGCACTAGAATGCGCGACTGGTTGGTTGGACTTAATGAGATCGTAAATGCGACGCGGCTATAAAGGAAGTTTATTGTTTTGTTATCTGTAGAACACATGTTCATAACTGGATCATGCATTTGGGTCTGGTTGGGGTCGTCGTTTATTGTATTTGCTTGATCTCCCTTTTTCTTAGAAATTAATTTCATGCAGAGTTAGTCGGCGCCTAATGGAATTGTTTTTTTTTAATTTCTGAATTTTTTAATGTTTCATTGTACAGGGTATGCGTCAATATAGCTATGCCTTGAATACAAAGTCTCGCCAATATAAGGATCTCAGCATCTTGGCCAAGGAGCCGGCATTCCTCAATGCAACGACCGTTTATCCCGTACAGTCGCCGGAGGATTTCTATCGTCTGCACGCCTACTACTCCAAGGTAATTCATGTAACATGTAAACTGTATATTGTACATTCTTTAACATAATATCAAACTGTTAAGAAATATGTCTGCTAAAGGATTTTAATTTTACATTGTTTGTAACATAGAATGTTAATAACATAATATTCGTTTGATACTTAATGTAACTAAATTCAACGGTAAACAGTGCGTCCCATAGTGCGCTAGAACTTAACGAAACTGAATTCAACGGCTTAAGAACTTAATGAAGTAGAGAGGAAACGGTTCATTGCCTTCTTAGCTAAACTACCGATAGGTATTATAAACATAATGAAACTTAACTCAATGATAAGTAGCGTGAAAGCTGTTATAAACCTAACGAAACGTTTTTCAATTATAAACAGAGATGACTCTTTCTGTTTACAACTTAACGAATTTTCAAATAACAACAGAGTGATACTCAGCTTAACGAAACTAAATTTGAATATTTGTTGAAACTAGTTTTCTGTTCTTCTCCCAATTCTCCAGCATCACCTGGATATGGTGCAACAGCGCGGCTATGCCCTGGAACAGAAGTCGTACCGTATCGCCAATGGCAGCATCTCCAACAAAATACTGGAGATACGTTGGCCCCTGGGCGTGCCACCGCCGAGTGCGCCGGAGACGCGGCACGACATGCTTACGTGGCAGCTGCTGAACGAGACGCACTCAATGCTGCCGAACTCCGACCATGCCGTGGCCCCGCTCAGCCGCATCGAAGCTCTGGACTTCGCCAAGGTGCTGGAGATCACGCTGCAATATGCCGCACAGAAGTATCCGAAGCTGCGCTACGAGAGCTTGCACAGTGCCTACCGGAAGTTCGATGCGACGCGCGGCATGGACTATCAGCTGCATCTGAATCTGTACGAGGGCGACAGCGACGTTGCCAAGCGGCGGCGGCTGTTGCTCAAGAGCTTCGAGGTGGTCAAGCCGCTGGGTCGCGTGGAGGTTGTGCCGTCGCCCTACGTCACGGAGAGTACCCGGATCGCCATACTGGTGCCGGCATTCGAGCACCAGGTGCCGGATGCGCTCGACTTTGTGGCCCAATACGAACGCATCTGCATGCACAACCAGGACAACACATTCCTGCTGCTGGTGAGTGTGACTGGAGATTGGAGAGAGGCTTCCACTGCTTAACGTTTCCGTCTTTCAGATCTTTCTGTACCGGCTCGAATCGCCCAGCAAGGGTGACGACGATCCCTTCAAGAGCCTGAAGAAGTTGGCCCTTGATTTGTCATCCAAGTACAAGACAGATGGCTCACGCATTGCCTGGGTGTCCATACGGCTGCCGGAGCAGCTGAGCACTGAGCCAGTGCAGCCGCAGGACTGGCTAATGCACGCCTCCATGTACGGACCGAGGCAGTTGCTCAGCTTGGCTGTTGCCGATCTGGCGCTGCCTAAACTTGGACTCGAATCGCTGGTGCTGTTGGCCACGCCCAGCATGCTCTTCCGCACGGACTTCCTCAATCGTGTCCGCATGAATACCATCCAAGGCTTTCAGGTCTACGCACCCATTGGCTTCCAGCTCTATCCCTGCAACTGGGCGCACTTCTGCAAGGAGTGCGACACCTGCGACATCAGCCAGAGCAGCGGCTACTTTGATCGACAGAATCAGGATGTAATTGCCTTCTACAGTCGCGACTACGTACAGGGTAATCATAGATCTAACTTGCTCTACCTACCTCTACCTCTACCTCTACCTTTAACTCAACATCTACATCTACATCTATATCTACCTTTACCTCTACCTCTACCCGTACCTCTACCTCTACGTCTATATCTATATCTACATCTACATCTACATCTACATCTACATCTACATCTACATCTACATCTACATCTACATCTACATCTACATCTACATCTACATCTACATCTACATCTACATCTACATCTACATCTACATCTACATCTACATCTACATCTACATCTACATCTACATCTACATCTACATCTACATCTACATCTACATCTACATCTACATCTACATCTACATCTACATCTACATCTACATCTACATNTCTATATCTATATCTACATCTACATCTACATCTACATCTACATCTACATCTACATCTACATCTACACCTACATCTACATCTACACCTACATCTACATCTACATCTACATCTACATCTACATCTACATCTACATCTACATCTACATCTACATCTACATCTACATCTACATCTACATCTACCTCTACCTCTACCTCTACCTCTACTTCTACCTCTTCCTCAGCCAGTTCTTTATTAAATTTGTTTCTCGCCTACAGCTCGCAAACTTTTGGATCCCTTGGGGCTGCCCATAATGCGTAGCGATCTGGACATTGAACAGCTGCTGCTGGCCACATCAAAGCCTCGCACCTCCAAGATCGAGAGCATTCTGGACATGTTTGTGGCCGCTCAGCATACGGTGCACATACTGCGCGCTGTCGAGCCCCATTTGCGCTTCGGTCTCGATGTGCGAAATCATTTGGCGCGGGGCGGCTCACTGCCGCCCACGTTGCCCCAGTCGTGCGGCGGCCAGCCCTGCATCCATTTGGCCTCGCGCAAGCAGATCGGCGATGCCATCATCCGCTACGAGGATAAAAGTATTCTGCAAAAATAGCTGCTGTACCCAGCTAGCTTTGATATACATATATTATAGTAATATTATCAGTTCCTTGCTAAACATATATATTGCCAACTGTGTGTGAGTTAGTGTGCGTGTGAGTGTGTGAGTTTGCTCTTAGCTTTTAGTACATTTTTTGTTACTTTTGTGTGTGTCTGTGTGCGTGTGTATGTGTGTGTCTTGCTTTAAACTGAAACTTGTAATGCTCAAAATAGTAGACAAGAATTGTTATACAATTTAGTGCTCAAAGGGTTGGGTTAGACGAGGGGGAAATGGAGCAGGGGCTAGCACGGGGTTGGGGTCAAGGAAATTTGTAGCTGCCAACTAACTAAACTTGCTTAAGTATAACAATATAAATATAAATAATGTAAGCGTTGTGTATAACAGTTGTATAATAATAGCCAGCATCTTGCGTGTCGCCGTAGCCACTCTCATAATTAAGTAGTCTTATATAATTATAGCTTGCCCTGCAAATTCCTATATATGTTAGGTTTAGTATGTATCTAAGTGTTATACTATATAATACATAGACATATAATGAAAGTGTGTATAACAAGAGTCTGAACGTAATGTGAGCCTGCTTAGCCATTATGACTGTGGCCCAAATCTTGCCTAGCTTCTGCACATTGTGGCAACTGTTATACAGCTTTAAGATATTGATAACTGTTGAATATATAATACTTTGTACACAATATAAATTTATGTATAACATTTTGAGAAGCCAATTGCCAGTACGCTGTTATACACAACCACTGTGAACTGTTATACATAATATTCACTGTAAACTGTTATACACATAGAATAAGCTTTTATTGTAGTTAACTGTTTAATATTGACCAACAGTTATACGAAAAATAGCATTGTTATGCGACAAAAACACTGTTATACGAACGACGAAATAGTTCTGATTATTGCTGAAAATTGTTAGATATACAACTTTAGGAGTTGAATTAAAAATGTATATGAAAATGCATGTTATACGATAGTCAACTGTTATACTGTTGTAGATATGTAAAACTGAAACATTGTAGCAGCTGTTATACAAGAGACAACGGTGAAATTGAATTGCATGCTACTGTCACTGTTATACAAGTGCCAACTGTTATACCAACTACGTATTTAGAGTTCGAATAAGTAGCGCCTGCCAGTTATACGTTTTAAAGCATTTTGCATTGATTATTATCATTTATACTTTTTTTTTTTTTTTACATAATTTTATATAAAAGATTTTTGTATTTAATTAATTATAACACAATCAACATATATTTGTTATACAACTAGCAAAAGGCAAAACGTATGTAAATAGTTGTTAGCATTGGCAATAAAAGAAGAGGATTTTTTTGAAGTGTAGTCATAGTTTTTAGCATATATATATAGAGGATATATAATGTAAATATATTATGTGTAAGATCTATTACGAACATGCCGATTATATAATCTAGTTGTTATATATATATCAAATAAATGTATGTAAAACAAAATCTTTGTCAATATATCCATGTCATTCCTTCAGCAGGAAGCTGAGATCGGACTGTGGCTCATATTCCACGGTGCTGCCATCGCTGTAAGTATAACAGTTATTAGTATAACGGATGTATTTTGAAAGTCGGTTTAAATTACGATTTGAAGAGCTTGGCGTTGCGTTCGCCCAGCAGCGTCGCCCGATCGCCCTGGACGCGCAGGCTGGTGCCCTCACGCAGCCCGAGCACAGGACGTGCATGATAGCTGACAAACTCCTCGATTCTCTCGTCTCGCGTCTCGCCTTTGTGCTGGCTGCTGAGGTCCGCGTCCAGGTAGTGCGGATTGATGTTGAAGGGCACCAGAGCCAGGGCCTCGAAGGTGGGCGGCTGCATGACGGGCATGTCGTTGGTGGTGTGGATGGAGCGTGTGGCCACATTGGTGCCGGCACTGCTGCCCACGTAGGTGAGGCCCTGCTCCAGCACCAGCTGGCGGATCAGTTCGACCAGCTGCAGTTCGTACAGCTGCTTCAGCAGCACAAACGTATTACCGCCGCCCACGAAAATGGCCTGCGCCTCGCGGAGCGCCCGCCTCGGATCGGGTTTCGTATGCAGCCCTTCCACTGCATAGCCCCAAGGCTGCAGTGCAGCACTGACGGTTGCCGTATATTTGTCGTGATCCCGCAAGGCGTATGGCACAAAGAGCACGGTCTTCACATTCTTGCTGCAGGAATTCAATGTTCTGATAAGCCGAACTCTTGATAAGATATTTGTGCTTACGCCTTGAACAGATCCTCCAGTTGGGCGCGCGCATGCTCCAAGTAGCCGTAGCCATGCAATCGGGACGACGAGAGCAACAATAAGTTCCGCGCACCGCTATTCATTTTCGAACGTCTCTTTCACGTAGAATAGCATTTAATCAGTACTTCGGATTATCGTTGTTTTATGGTGGTACTTGGGGCAGGCGATAAGTGAAAACAATACAAATGAACATTCAGATATTTCATGCTGAGCAAAAAGTCAACAGTTGAGTGCACAGAACATGCAGCGATATGTCAAGGGCACTATCGTCATTTGGCCTACATTTGCCGGTATTAAAAAAACTTTCTAGTACACCGCTGCCAATTGGCCGATATTAGATGGTGTTTCATAAGATACGCCTACAGTGATATATCGGCGTACCGATATTTGTTGGTATTTAATAATTTAAACACATCGATATATCAAGTAAGTTTTCATTTGATATCTTCATTCAATAACAAAATGTGTGGAAAATTATCGATATCAATTTTGTATTCCAATAGATATTTAGTTATCGATTAATTTTTTTATTTTAGTATCGGTTTATGAGGCGGGCATTTGAATTATCGAATCATTTAAATATATAAAAGCATTGAAATAACGAATAGCAATTACAATAAATTTTATTCGAGTTTTTCTCTTCATTTTGGTTACTTTAGAACACAAAAAGCCAGAATGGAAACAATGTTTTTTTTCTTGTTTAGGCATTTGTTTGACATGCTTGCAAATTTATTCTGTTCAATTATATTGCTTAAAATGAATTATATATGTAGGTATACATATGTATATGTATGTGTATATGTATATGTATATGTGTACGTAATTGACTGCCGTGTCTCGATGCCACGATGCCAAAATTCAAGCATCTCATAATTAACTAACTTGAATTATTGCATATTTGTTTTTTGTTTGTTTTTTTTTTCTTTAACATATATTATTATTAACAACAACAAATGAATTTGGCTGTTGCTTTTTGTACATATTATACATTATGCATATGTATGTGTGTGTGTGCGTGTGTATATGTGTGTAAGTATTTCGGCAGACATAAGTATGTATGTTTCAATAAAGCATTTCAGTTTTTGCTTCATTTTACAGTGAGTTTATATTAAGGTATTTGCGTATAAATTAATTATTATTATTA